TGAAAAATCCAATTAATATAAAGTATTTGAAGGAATAGAATGGGACGTTCACCTTGTTGTGAGAAAGCTCATACAAACAAAGGAGCTTGGACTAAAGAAGAAGATCAACGCCTTGTTAATTATATTCGTTCTCATGGTGAAGGTTGTTGGCGTTCTCTCCCTAAACCTGCAGGTATTTTTTCCTTTTTTTTTTTTTTTTTTTTGAGTTTGGAGAAAGTAAATGGAAAAACTAATAAAACCCAACTTTTTATTCTCTTTCTAATTTCTTTATTTCTTTTCTTTTTTAAGTTTAAGTTTTGATTTTATTGTTCTTTCAATTATTATCATGAAATAGTACCTTCCCCACCAATTCATTTTAAAAGAAAAGAAATGTTTTTTAGAGTTAAGTAAATAAAAGGGACAAAAAATAGGTTTTTCAAGGATTGTGAAGATTTGATATTTACTGTTTCTTGGATATTCTTTAGGATTGCAAAGGTGTGGAAAGAGCTGCAGATTGAGGTGGATAAATTATCTAAGGCCTGATCTAAAAAGAGGGAATTTTACTGAAGAAGAAGATGAATTGATCATCAAACTCCATAGTTTGCTTGGAAACAAGTATGTTCACATTTATTAGTTTTAGTAATATATACTATAGTTTAGGTCAATTTAATATAGGTCACGGTTCGAGCCGTAAAATTAGTTACGGATCCTTGCATCAAAATAGACTGTTTGCAGCATATCACGTTCTTATATGATTCTTTGGAACGGGACCCTTTCGACCCTAGACGTCCTTTTGGGCTGTGACTCTTTCTCGAATACTCTGTGAACACAGAATACTTCGTGCATCGGACAAACTAACCAGTTTAGGTCAATCTAGTACTAATATCCTCCTATTTCTTTGTTCCATATATGGAATTAAGAAATTTTGTTTGGGTCTGTTTGGTAGCCGGGAAAGTGTGAATACTGTAATAGAAAGTCAAATTCTTCTTTCTCATTTGGGACCACTTGAAGAAAAGGAGAAAGAAACCTAAATCTTCCAGAATAAAAGTTAGGTGGTTAACTTTATTTTTATCATTATTTTGACTTATACTTATTTGATTTTATTTCGAGAAATTGGAAGAATTTATGTCGAAATTCACACGTAAAATTAATCAATCTAACTCTTATACTCTAAATCTGCAAATCTGCCCCATAACTTGGAACATAAGGAGTAACATTTGATGTAATTGCATTTCATATTTTGAGTGAACAAGACTTAAAATCTTTTATATTTTTTAGTTTCTTAATATTTTTCTGATTTTTATTTTCCTTTTTGTCTATAGATGGTCTGTGATAGCTGGGAGATTACCGGTAGAACTGATAATGAAATCAAGAATTATTGGAACACACACATTAAGAGAAAACTCATCAGCCGTGGCCTTGATCCACAAACCCACCGCCCACTCTCCACTGCCACCGCCACTTCTACCGCCACTGCCACCTCCACCTCCACCGCCACCAAAAACATCTGCTTGGACATGAGAAACACCTCAGTAGCAGCAACCCCTTTATCTCTAAATGATCAAAACCCCACAAACTATTCATATTCATTTGAAGAAGAAACCAAATGCAGCAGTAGTACAACTGAGGAAAGACATGAGCCGTTAGAGGCATCGGCGGCCGTTACGGAGAAAAGCTCCGGTGAAGTGATGATCAATCTTGAACTTTCAATTGGGCTTCCATTTCAGGCTATGGTGGCGCAACGGCGGCCGACGGTGGAACTACCGGTGGCAGCCACCGAGTTGGTGGAGAAAGCAGTGTGTTTGTGTTGGCAAATAGGATCTCAAAGTGGTCAGCAGTTTTGTGGTAAATGTCAAACCACAAATGGATTTTACAAATATTGCTGACTCCTGTTTTGGGATAAATTAGAGATTTTATTTTTAAAATTTTAGGTTTAGATATTAGTTTTTCTTTTTAAAATTATGCTTAAATTTTTGCCTCACAATTGTAAGCATCAAGCTATACCTTTTTAACTAGTTGTATATTCTGTGACAAACTTTCTTACTTTGAAATTAGTCGTACGAAATGGAAAATGTATTTTAATTTTCCAGTTTCTAATATTAATTCCATTTTTTTTTTGTGATTTTTTTCTTTGCTATGAAATCTTTCCAATTGCGCCGATCATATATAGCCTTTTGGTCAAGTTAGAAAAATCAGTTTATTTTGAGAAGTTCTTTTTGTGTTTGGCTAATCACTTTAAAAAGTAATTTTGAGCAATAATTTGTGTTTGGCCAAACTTTTCAAAAAATGCTTTTAAGTATCAAATTACAAATAAGGACATGAATAGATTTACTTAATAGTTAATATTATAAGTAAATAAATAATTTTAAAAATTTATTATTACAGGCAATAATTAAATCTTTTTATTTTATTTCAATAAAATATGAAAATAAAATTAAAAAGTACTTTAATTCTTTTAATATTATTTAAATATATTAAAAATCATTCAGCAAATATAAAAGCATTCACCCCTAAAGTCACTATATATATTAGAAAACTATCCTAAAAATTAGAAGAAATACTTATACATTAATATCCTAAGTATTAGATTTAACGATTATTTTGGTATATACTTTTTTTTAAGGATATTTTTGGTAAGAAGAAAAGTCAAAACTGCTTCTGCTTTTGGGAAGAAACTACTTTTTTCTGTTTCTCAGACTGCTTCTGCTTCTTCCCAAAAATACTTTTTTCCCCAAAAAAACTTGGCAAACACCTTAAGTTAAAAAAAAAAAGTGATTTTGGGAAAAAAAATACTTTTGGCCTTTGGAGAAGCTTGGCCAAACATGCTATTAATCTTCTAAAATCAGCTTATTTTGAGAAGTGATTTTGCTTTTGGTGATAAGCAGTTTGTGTTTGACTAATTAATTTAAAAATCACTTTTGAACAGTAGTTAGTGTTTGACAAAATTTTTAAAAACTGTTTCTAAATGTATTTTTCTCAAAAGTGCTTCTGAGAAAAGTGCTTTTAGAGAGAGCTATTTTTTTAAACTACTTTTTCTCCTCAAAAGTATTTTGTTTTTTTCTAAAAACTTGACTAAACATCTTAATTTTTTTTAAAAAATACTTTTGACCAATAAAAGTATTTTTGGCCAAAAAAAAAAAAGCTTGGCGAAAGAGGCTAATAACTCATACATCGGGTGCTGCGGTCAACCTCACAAGACTAGAGTTGATTTTGCCAAAAATGGTCCTGTGAAGCAAGTATTGACAATCCAGTTAAGTGACGTTTGATTGGGCAGTGAAAAATTAATTTTAACGTAACAAATTTAACATTGTAAACGAGGGGTGATCTTTTTTCGCACATCTTCACTCTTTTTCTCTTTTAAACTAGGAGGATTGGCGTTTGGCCAAGATATGATCTATCTCTTTCCTTGGTTGTAATGGAACTTTGATTTTATTTAGCGAGGAACCGTTTCACTCGGCGTCGAATGATCAAAGCTAAAAGCTTTAGGCATTTTTTGAACATGTTCAACTTCCAAAATTCCTGAAGTCCTACGCTACGGCATTATCACAAAAAGAGTTAACAATGGCCAAGACAGATTTGTTACGAAGAAATTTAAAAATGAATACAATAAATATACGAAGAAATTAAGAGGGTTAAACATCCAATATATACACATACATTTTAGTCCCTTAGCGATGCCTCTGGCTTCAGTACACTTGTTGAGGTAGATGCAATTTTATAGTACCGGCCTACCGGGTTCATGTGGACACAATACTTTCGACCCAGAATTTAAATTTTATATGTAGAAATTCATTAAAAAAATTGCAACAAAATGGTGTATCTGAATCTATTCTTTTAAAATCGAATTTCTTCGTGTCGGTGACTCACATCCAAATTCCGAACCTAACACAACAGTCTAATATCTTGTATATTACACTTCATTTTATTAAATTTCAGATAGGATTGCTTGATCATAAATAAATTGTTAGTATATTGGGTTGATATTGTAATAATAGAGGTGTTTTAGGCCTTGAGAAATTTTGGTAGAGTCACATGTGGGCTAATGCCCTCAACAGACATGGTCGGCTCTAAATTAATAGACTTGCTTCAGGTGGCTTTCTTTATTAGGTATTATTTAAATGTATCTATTAGGTGGAAAATTCATCCTGTCAAAGATGAAAACAAGAAAATAATAAGTGAAAGTACCTAAGAATTAAGGTTATATTTGTGGAAATATTTATAGGGGCAATCATCTAATTCATTGGAGTTTCTATTTTGAATTATAGGGTATTTTATTATTTTGAGAAAAATTAGCGCTTTAAGGTGTGGGGTATGACTGCGGGTTTACTTTGCCATGCAGTTTTTGTTACTATAAATTTTCATATCCCACTTAGAAAAGTATATAAAAAATTACAATCTAACTAAAAATGTATTCAGTAAAAGCTTTTTGGAGCCAAATTAAATGAAGTTACAAAATGCGTACGTTTAGAGGCATTCACACATGATTTAACTGAAGTTTGAAGACAAGAGGGGTTGCTCCGATAATCAGCACCTTCTATTTACAATCTCAGGGTCGTGAGTTTGAGTTATCAAAGGAGCAATAATTTCAACAAAAGGGGATCAAATAGGAGTCAAAGAGAGGGGAATTTAAAAAGGAAAAACTGAAAGATATATGTAATTCAAACAAGAAAAGCCTAAAAGATAAAGGAACAAAATTGATGGACGCGTCTATCTTTGGTTTAAATCTAAGTTAGAAGTAGTTGATTATTGAAATGAATAGAAAAGTAGTTTTTTATAAGATATTTTTTTAATACAACTCGCAAAAATTATAATATATGTTCCGTATTATGTGTTTTTTTAATTTCTTACACGTTTTTAAGATAGATATTTAATATCTTTTTTTTTGGTAATTAAGAAACTTTCATTTACCAGTAATATTTACAAGCTGTGATCAAGCTTAATCTGGACATAAGCCCCAGATTTTAGCCATTCAATTCACTGTCCTCAGTTCTAACTACTAAACTAATAGAAATGACATCTAACTATACATTAGGATAGTAGTTAAGTTCTATCAATCTTCGTTGTAGTCGCTGTTTACTAGCTCCTCGACCATGCACATCTTGTGTTATTACTTTGCTTAGCACTGCTTCTGATCGTTGTTCACCTTTGAAAATTCTGCCATTCCTCTCTTGCCATATATAGTACAGACTATCTGCCAGAATGAGTTTATACAGCTCAGCTGTTGTGCTCCTATCCTTATAATATCTTTCTGCCCACTCAATTTCATTAGTCCATGTCATTGCTTGCCTATGAATCCCTTGCCATCGCAGCATTGCTATCCATACTCTTGAAGAATAAGGACAGCTAAAGAACAAGTGATCAGTGGTTTCCTCCTCATTGTTACATAATGAACAGGTTGCATCTTCCACATAACCCCATCCCCTCAATCTGTCTTTAGTCAGTAGCCTTCGATGTGCAGCTAGGAATACTGTAAAGATCCATTTTGGCAATCCAGCATTGTTGTACACCAGTTTCCTCCATGGCACTCTAGCAAATTCACCTCGAATCTTCACATACATAGTCTTAATGGAGAAGCTTCTTATTCCCTCTACATCCTCCTCTGTATAACCAACTTCCTCAAAATATTGTTTGGCTTTCAGAATCTTCTGTACCATCCAAGAAGCTTGCTTTGGCTCAATGCTCCACAGTGAATTCTGTTTCTTGTAGTACACATGTATCCATTGCACCCACATCTTATCTTTTTTCTTGCATAGATTCCATAGAAGTTTTCATATAGCTGCCTTATTCCATGCGTCTATATCAAGCAAATTTAAGCCACATGCTGCTTTAGGCTTACATAAACTGTCCCATGATAATAAAGCTTTCTTTGATACTTCCACACCCCCAGTCCATAGAAATGTTCGACACACTCTTTCAATGAGTTGAATCAGTTTCTTTGGCAGCAAAAACACCTGAGACCAGAACACTTGGATAGAGAATAACACACTCTTAATTAACTGAATTCTTCCTGCATAGGACAGGAACTTTGATGTCCAAGATTGAATTCTCCCTAGCATCTTTTCAAGTAGAGGCTGGCACTGCACCAATGATAATCTCTTAGAGCTGAGAGGCACTCCCAAGTACCTAACTGGTAATGTTCCTTTCACAAAGCCTAGAACTTGTAAAATCTCCTGTTGCTTGTCATCATGCACTCCACCAAAAATTATGGAGCTTTTATCAGCATTTGCCACTAACTCTGATGCCTTTGAAAACTTCTGAAAACACTGAAACAGTAGCTGAACAGATATAGCATCACCTCGACAGAACATCAATAAGTCATCAGCAAAGCTTAGTTGCACTATGTTCATTTTGCCACATTTAGGATGATAATTGAAGTTAGGGTCCCTCTTGAGAGTCTTCAATAATGTTGTCAGATACTCCATAGCCAATACAAATAGATAATGAGATAGTGGATCTCCCTGTCTCAATCCTTTCTTAGCTTGAAATGGCCTAGTAGGTTGCCCATTAATGATGATGGAATATGAGACTGTTGTTACACATCTCATAATCCATTGCACAAATCTCCCTGGCAACTGCAGATATGTTAACACTTGCTCTAAATAACCCCACTCAACTGAGTCATAAGCCTTCTTCATATCTATTTTCATCATGCATCTAGGAGAAACACCTTTTTTGCCATACCCTTTAACTAACTCATGACTAAGTATTATGTTATCATTTATCAGTCAACCAGGAACAAAAGCTGACTGACTTTTATCCACCAGCCCATCCATCACTCCTTGTAATCTATTAGTTAGGACCTTAGATATAAGCTTGTAAAGTAGTGTGCAACATGATATTGGCCTGTACTCAGTAATTTTAGAAGGATTTTTTACCTTAGGTACAAGTGTTACAGTTGTACAATTTATAGGCTGGTACATAGTTGAACTTGAGAAGAACTCCATTACTGCATCTGTAATTGTGTCTTCTACTACAGGCCAAGCTTTCTTGAAGAATAAAGCATTGAAACCATCACACCCAGGGGCTTTGTTGTCACTTATGCTTTTTAGAGCATGATATATCTCCTCCTTTGATACCTCTGTTATCAGTTGCAGTTGTTGCACTCTATTCACCATAGGACCATCTCTCATGACAGCTGGATTAATAGCAGGCAACTCATTTGCTGAGGAACCTAATAGTTGTTGGTAGAACCCTGTCACTTCCTCCTCAATTCCCTGCCTTGTTTGCACTGTATCCCCATTACACTTTATTAATCTTCTGATCTTGTTCTGACTGTATCTATTTTTTATATTTGCAAAGAAATATGCTGTATTGGCATCACCTAGCTTTAACCATTTTACTCTTGACTTCTGCCTCATAATACTTTCCTCCACCCCTAACCATTTCTCCAACTATACTTTTATTTCTTTTTCATCAGCTACTAGGGCCTCAGATTGACCAGGATCCTTCATTTGTTCTTGCAAAGCAATTAGTCATTGCCTACATACCTTGATCCGATCACCAATAATATTATACTCATTACCTACATACCTTGATCCGATCACCAATAATATTATACTCATTATTGTTTAACACCTTCATAGCCTGCTTCACTCTTTTTAGTTTCTGCCAGATATTCCTCATATTGTTTTGTTCCTGTGGCCTCTCCCATGCTTCACTTACTATCTTTATAAACTCATCATGTTCAGCTAGATGATTTAGAAATTTGAATGGTTTAAGACTACAATCTTCATCCTCCTCTAGTGCTATACTCAGTGGGGAATGGTCAGAACAATGTGGATCCATAATCCATACCTCTAAGTATGGCATGGCCAGCATCCATTTAGCATTAATCAAAGCTCTATCAATCTTGCTATAAATGTGTCCATTTGTCCATGTAAAGCTCCTTCCACTAGTTTTCATTTCTGTCAATCCAGTACTTTCAATAAACTCATTGAAGTCTCTGACCTCCAGTTCTTGCACAGGATTACCAATTGGTCTATCTTCCCCTGATCTAATGGCATTATAATCCCCCATTATCAACCATGGCCCTTGCTGTATAGAGTGTAATCTTGTCAGTTCACCCCACAGACTTCTTCTATCTTCCAAACTATGCAATCCATATACAACTGTAAAAGTGAACCTCATATCCAATCTCCTAACATAAACTGAAGTGTGTATAATTTGAAAAGTTCTACACAACTCTATGCAGTCTATTTCATTGAATCCCATAGCAATCATATTCTTCCTTTACTACTATATTCATAGTTGTCTAATCATGCCCATCCAGGTGTAATTTTCCTTATAATTTGCATAGCCTTCTGTTCTTTTATTTTATGCTCTAATAATGCAATCATATGTACTTTATTACTTTGAATGAACCACTTCACCTCTTTTTGTCTAGGGGCTTTATTTAAGCCCCTTATGTTCCAAGTTACTAGCTTCATACAGGTATGAAAAGAGGTTGCATAGTCCCTTCCTGCCCATTATTACCTTGTTGTCTACTTGTTCCTTCCTCCATTTGTCTTGGCATTGCTAGCTGCAGTTTAGACTCTGTGAGAAGATTAAAGCAATTAAGCACATTGACTACATTAACTGGTTGCCTCTCTCTGCTTCTAGCTGCTGACTTTTCTATAACAGTCTGCCACACTTGTTCTTCATTTCCTTTCAGTGCTCCTATACCAGCACTAGCAACCAATGTACTAGTGCTAGCATTTCCTTCAATATTAGGCTCTATCAACTTTGATTTCTCCTTAACAACAGATTTCTGCACTTTGGGTACAAGTTTAGGTTGCCATTCCTGTTTCTGCTTTGCATTCTTAGCCTTCAGATTTAGTCCTAGCTGCTCATCTACTCTGCATTTGTGGCCAACTTGCATACATTTAGTACAGAACTCAGGGACCCAATCATATGCTATTTCCTGAATAAACTCCCTCCCATTTGGATCAGTCACCTTGATGAACCTAGGCAACTCTTTAGTAACATCCATTTCCACCAATACTCTTGCATAGGAGATCCTATAAACTTGAGTAGTACAAACATCAACATATAGAGGGATTCCCAAACCACTACTTATCCTACTTAGTGACCTATTTTCCCAGCAATTCAAAGGCAAATTAGGATATTTGACCCACACTGGTATAGTTTGAAGCACCTCTTTATTGATATCAAAATCAGCAGACCACATTTTGACAATGATAGGCTTGTTATTCAACATGTGAGGTCCTGAATACAGCACTTCATCCCTATCTTCAATAGAATTGAAACGAACCACAAAATATCCATTATTGTGAAAATACACCTTAGGCTTTGCTACAAAGTTCCATACTGAAGCAATGTACCTTTCCATGGCACCTATTGTTGGACTTTCTCTAACAACATACAGAATTAACGCTTGCTTCTAGTTCTGAGTCTCCTTCTCAATTTCTTCCTTGCAGAGTTCCACAATCACCTCACCATTTTTGATAGTTGGTGCAATAAAACTCAGATCCATGCCTTTTGCTGTAAAATTCGATCCCACGAATAGATTTGCCCACTGTTTCTGCCCTTTATCAGCCTCTACAGGAGGCAAATTCACTTGAGGTTGAGTTATCTCTGCTGTAGTCCTTTTCCCCCCCCAGTTCACCAGTAATTGGTACAGAACTCTTACCAGTTGTCACATTTTTGCATACATTAGGGCTTGCATGTATCATCGGACCATCAACAACTACTTTACCACTATGATTGCCCTTATCTAGTGGAGTTTTCATACCTTCCTTCGTGATTGACAATGGCGGCCACTGTTCCATTGGAGCTTCCCCTTGATCTCTAACCATATTGCTCTCATTCCTCAGAATTGGAGTGTTTGTTCCTGCGTAATCAGTTACTTGGCTCGTGGTTGTAATTCTCTTCGGTCGTCCCCTCCCCATGTCAGTTGGCGTATGTTAGCACATGCACTCTAACGTGCGCTGGATGGATAGTGCGGCATAAATCAAAAAGATAAATCTTATTAGCTGTGAGCTCTTTAGCAAGGAGCATCTCTGTTCTATCTTGATATTTAATATCTTTAATCATAATAATATTGATCTAAACTATTTTTTTCCCCTTAAACATCTCATGTTGAAACCATATTTACTTTGTCAAAAGAATTTGTCAAAAGACTAATATTTGAGACCGAAGAGAATAACTATCTTCAAATAGAAAATTGAAATATTCTTTGCTTTATTAGTATTCTCAAGGCTCTATTATCTAATAATTGAGTTTGTACACTGCAGTTTCGGCAAAGGCTATTACGTATAGTTGAAAATGGCGTCCCTTAAATTACATGGCTTTTTGGGTTGTAAAAGGCACATTTAACATAAATCCTGCATGAAAATTGCAAAGTGCCACAGATTTCTTTTTTCTTTGGTATTAGTCAAATTACGAAAATTCCTTCGATGTTTTTTCTTCAAAACAGTTATGACCCTTAATTGAAATTTCAAATTTGATCTAGGAATAGTTTTTTTATATTTTTAATGGAGAACGTTTTGCCTTTTGGTCGATTTATGACACGAATCTGAATTATTGAGGATAACAACAACAATAATGACCCAATAAAATCTCACAAATGGGGTCTGGGGAGGGTAATGTATACGCAGACCTTACCCCTACCCGAATGGAGTAGAGATGCTGTTTTCGATAGATCCCCGACTCAAGAAAACGGAAAAGACGAGAAGAGACAATATATTAGTACCATCAACAGAAACCATAGAAATAGTAACATCATCATAAGAAC